TGCAGAAACGGTGCATTTTTTTGCAGCAATCACCTTCAGATATTTGTTCCCACTCCATGGAGTGCCTACAAAGACTGGCTTTAACCCCCCTATTCTCTGCAGTCCCCACTGGGCAGTAAGCCTTGGTGACTAGGACCTCCTGAGGCTTAACCCAGTACTTTCCCTCACGAAAAGATCAACCTGCCTCTAATTAATCAGATTAGATTAGGCTTGTGCTTCTCTCCCTTTCTCTGAGACCACGTGATTTCCACTGTTGCTTTGCATCTTCCAACCTTTCTGTCCCCCAGTATTGTTTGCTGTTCATCTCCTTTGCTAAGTGTTGCACAAAATTACACTTTTGGATGTACAGTGAAGTGTCACTGTGGGAATTAATCTTGTTCTTAGGGGTCTGTTTAGAAACCTGAAAACACTCTTAAAACACAAAGGTCTTGGCCAAAAGATTCTAACTTTGAAGGTGATAAACAGATATTTTGTGCCAAAATACTTGTGCTGATGCTGGTGATGTGGCCCAAGGGAATTCCAGTTTGTGTATCTTACATTACTAGACTTTCAGCCTGGCAGATATCTTGGTCCAGACTACATTTCCCATGTTGCATCATGGTCTTAGACTTATAGCCCGGCTCATGCAGGAGGAAAATACGGAATTTTGGAAAACTGAGATGTAATATGATGAAGTGGCATGACCAAAAATAGCACCCAAGAGCTCGTGCCTTGCTCACCGCTACCCAGCACATTTTGAACCTGTCTGTCCAAAATCTTGGATTAGGTCAGTGGGAAAAAAGTAGTATAAAGTTACCATTCTGTCTGGTAAGATGCTATATCTGCCTTCCTCTCACAGTGTCGTGATGTAGGTGGCCACAGGAAAAAAAAAAAAAAAGCAGTACCTCCTCTGATCTTGAACCCATTGTTGTAGTGGAAAAAATAACAGAAATATCATATAGTTGTTTAAAAAAAAGAAAGAAAGCTTCCCAATTCTCCTGTCAGTAGGTGCAGTCCAGGAAACTTTGTGTTTATAAAGCACTGTGTAAATTTGCAGCTCTCTATAAATGAATAATCAATAACAATGATAACAGTAACAGTGCTTAGGCCAGCTCTATTAAAAACTCAGGACTGCTAACTCCTTGATAAGATCACTTGCTTTACACAGGCACCTCCTCATCGTGTGAAAGCAAAGCACGAGGAGCAGAACAGAAAATACTTGTGTTCCCTGACAAGAAAGGAAACATGGAAACAAAACGTGTTCCCCGCAGCAAGTGACAATGGCAGCAACAACCCAAGGGACTCTCTCAAATTCTGTCAGGCAGCCCTTAGCCTCTCTGCGGAGAGCGGCAACACAGGCTTCCTGTTCTGCGAAATTAAAATCGCAACAGCTGTCTCCTTGTTTATGGTATCGCTTTTTCATCTCTTCCCCCAAGCACACAAGAAGGGGGAATCCCCAGGAACCTGACGGGCTGAAGCAAAATTGGGTGTCTGGTGTGCAGCAAGATCAGCGAACTGCTTGTGTGGCTGGCCCCTCTGAACACTGCTCTACGCAGTGACCCCACCACAGAGCCGGGTTTAGCAGGGCATCACCTGGGCCATTTCCAGGATGCCTACAGGAGCTGCTGAGTGGGAGGACGCGACCGCACATCCTACATCTTTGATGACAGTTCTGCCACCTCAGGCTACCCCGATCATCCCTAAACAGGAGGGCAGAAGGGCCTTATTTTAGGAGCTTGGGGATTTTTTTTAGCTGGATTTGACTACCACTGTCAATAACTAAGTCTGTACCTCAGAATAGTTGTGTACTGCTAATCGTGAGTGTCTAACAGTTGGCCTCTAACCCCCTCCCATAGATGAATCCCTTAGTGGTGAAGCTGCCTCAGGCAGCTCAAGTTGGCTCCATGCAGTCTGGTCCTTTTTGACCAGGTCCCCTTTAATCCTAGATTAGGGTTCCCAGATGGTTTATTGCCGTTTCCCTTCTAGGCCCGTCCAGCCTCGGTCGCGACCTCTCACAAGCAGTTAGTTCCCTGACTGAAGTGAGGCGCTCCCCTGGCAGAGACAAGGTGAGAGCCCAGAAGGAATCTCCCTCCCCTTCCCTGCCTACCCCTGTCAGTAAGCCGAGCCTCGGCTTGCTCTTTGGTAGGTTCACAGTCACCCTGGGGGTTTTCTTTGCCCTGCTTCTGTAGTAAATCAAGTCCATCTGTATCTCCATTCTCTTCAGTTATCTCCTTCCACTACCCCTGCTTGCTAACCTATTCATAGATCCAATGACCTCCAGCACAGGAAGAATCCTCCTTAAGTGCCTATCCCAATGGGGGTACTCACACTATTAAGTAATAATCATCCAGTAATAATCACCACAGGGCTGGCAGGGACTTCAGAAAGTCATCAAATCCATCACTCCCTGCTCCGAGGTAGCGTCACCCAGGAACAGTCCCTGACATGTGTGCGAAATGCTTCTAATGATGGGCACGCAACGGCTTCCCCAGCAGCCCCCTGTGGCCCGGGAGACCTTCCTGGGAAGAAAGCACTCTCCTGAATGCAGCCCAAATCTTTTCTCCTGCAAATTAGGCCAATTATTACTTGTCCTTCTCCTGGTGGATCTGGAGAACAATTGATCACTGTCTGCTTTATAGCAACCTTTTATATAATAACAAGACAGCTTTTAGAGTAACTGAAAAAGAGGCGTTTGCTCACTTGCAAAGTCAGGAAATTCCCTGCCAATGAACATTCTTTGTCAGGGATCCTTTGCCAGCATAGGCTGAGTGCTAAGCCCCACAATCTGCGTTTTCCTTTTGAATGACTCCCACAAAATAAACCAAATATCACATCCAAGGAGATTTATTACATCCCTTCCAAGGGCAAAACATTCCTCAGCTACATTCCACTTCTGTCTTTTGTGCTTAGGAAAGGGGAAAAAAAAATCTCTGTGATGCCTCTGGATCCCACCCCTTGAGGGCTTCTGTCATTAATAAAGCCGAGCAGCTGGAGCCAGATTTGTCAGACTAGTTCTGAATGGCTGGCTCGATGCTGCTCGCAAGAGCAGCAGCATGACAGCAGCGCAAGGCAGACGAGGAGGAATACTGCCTCTGCTATAAGGTTAATAAATCATGGCACCACGTTTCCCCAGTAAAAACACCTTTTGTTGTTCCGAGTGACACCCTATCCCCTATGGCAAGAGCTGCCAGAGTGGATCTTCTCACTTCCTAGCTGCTCTGGCTTCTCCTGCCTTTGCATGATGCAAGAGTTTGCAATGCTTTTTGGGAGCTCAGATGTGCTCTCAGGGACTCTCTGCTTGAAGCTGTTGCTGACATTAATCTCTCTAGGCTTTGTAGTGAAGCTTTTATCCAGATGTGCAAAGGAGTATTTGTCTAGAGGCAGGGCAAGGTGGGTGGAATCTCTGTTGTGTTATCTGAGCTTCATTAAGCTTTTCCCTAGGCAGTGACTAATTGATTGACCTTAGGACTGCAAAAGGGAGCAAATTTGCTGGAGTTCATTACAAGAGCAGAATTTGGAATTTGCACTTTTTCTTTGGAGATGTATACCGTTAACTGATGTCTCGCTTACTGATACCCAGTGAAACAAACACTACTCAGCAAATGCTTTTAGGTGACAGATGCTTCTTAAATCCAAATGAGAGAAGCAGTGAGCCATTGCAGGCCAGTTCATCATCCTCATGTCTTCTGCCACAATTTACAGGTATCAGTCAATTGTGGCTTGGAAATTACTATTTGTCCCAGCCTGGGCTGTGAAAGCCAGCCTTGTAGTCCATGTAAGTGCATGTCAAATCCATTTCAGTCTCACAAGCTTCCCAAGCATTTTACAAAACTAAGAAAAAGCAAAGCAAAACAGAACAAATATCAATTCCCCCATGATAAAATGCAGCCACTGCAGGCATGGGAGAGACAAGTTCTGCAACTGCGTAGGACAGCATTACAACATACCTGATTAGGAGATGAAGAAGGAGAAAAGATTCTATGTGCAAGGAGAACTGTAGAAGGAATGAAGAGGGCTTTTGTCACTTCACAAATGTCGGGGACGTTGACATCACCAAAAAGCCTGAAGGGTCATATACATTTGGGTGGTGTTCTGATCCATCTTCTGATCCATCCATTCTAAAATTCAGCGCCCACAGAGCCACCCACCACATGGGGCAGTCTCTCTTCCACCTGAGCAGGAGTTCAGGCTTGCGCAGAGTGATAGGTGAAGCCTTCTGCAGCTTGGGGCTTTCTTTGCAGGTCTTCTCTGCAAGTACTGACGTTGACTTTTTGTTGCTGCTTTTTAAATGATCAAAGCTTATCCTCTCAGGACTGACACATGGCCAGTGTGTGGAAGAGGCTAAAGGAGGACAAAGTGTGCAGAACAGTATGGAAGTGACACACACGCTTGAAGAAGAACATCATGAGCACAAGGTGACCATTTCAGATGGACTTTAAAGCTATTTAGAGCATGGAGGGAAGAGTCATAGATTGCAGCAAGTTCAAAAAGCTATGTGAGCCTCCTGGGTGTGATATGTTGCTGGGGCTTTTGAATTTTCTCCTCTCAGCATCTGCCTTGTTTCCCTCCTTTTCCTAGCTGGAAAGGGCTGTCATTCCATTCACTCCTATTATCCATTCCTGAACAAGATGTTCAAACCTCTTCTAAAGCACTTTCTCTGTATTCTGCAAAGTGTTGAGAGGATTTGGTGGAACTGTCATGCTTAGAAATAACATGGATAAATGGTACCTTTCCTGTATGGCTTTCATAGCAAACACAACCGTGCAGTCATGGCTGCCTATCCCTACCGTGGACTTGTTTTGTCTTTAGGACCTGAACACTTCTGGTTTGCTCTTCTGTGTGTATTGTTTAGAAAATGCCCAACACCAGTGAGCACTTTACAGGAAAGTACCAATTTTCAGACTGTGTTTGGAGGGAAGCAGTTTGTTGGATCTCTGGGTTTATCTAGTGGTGGGAAGAATAAGGCTACAGCAGTACCTGTGAGGAATGGACCCTGTCATTGTCTCACAGGTAGGATGGAGTTTGTCAGTGAGGAGAACAGAAGCCGATGCTCTCAAGGAAAGAGATGAAGCCAAGTGCCCCCTCTCAGGCACACTGACTTCCTGCCGCAGGAGAACACTTGTGACCCTCACAACCCCCTTCTGCCTGCTCTGGCTGCCTCTTTGACTTGCTTCTTTTCCTCTCTCCTCAACCACACCCACTATTTAACCATTTAGATATAAAAATAAAAAATAAAAAAAACACCCAACCCACTAGACAGAGGGTTTGCTGAAGAAGGGTAATTTTAAAAGTAAGTCTTTGAGGTCAGCATGTAATTGTAACATTGGGACTGTGTGATCCAAGACAAAAATAATCCAGTGGGTATTTGGTCAAGGAGGAGATCATGGCTGCCTGCAGTGAGGGCAGAAGAACACTCATGAGATTGATCAGACAAAGCAAAAGACTACTCAAAGCTAGTCACTGGCTAATATTTGTGTAGGGCATTGTAAGATTTTCTGCACGTGACGGGATCATAAGAGCTGCTGAACTGGGTCACAGCCTCCCTTGGTTGATAGCCCTGCCTCTGCCAGGGGCTGGCATAGGATACTTCTCAAGAACTTAACAGTGTTCCACAGAAATCCAGGTATGGTGTGGGGTGTGTTTGTGCATTAACCTGCCCGTGAGGAACCCTCCCGCTAGCTGCCAGCCAGAGCGTTAGCTGCCAGCCGGGCTGCTCTGCAGTGCAGGGGGCCGAGGCCCATCTTTCTAACCATACTTCGTGTTTCGCTCCCCTGCTTTGGAGCTTCCTGAAATCCTGACTTCTTCAAAGCCTTTGCAAGGGGTTGCCAGACACACTCTTCTCCTAAGTGGCGTGATGGAGGGTGCTTTCACCCTTACAAATGCCAGGTCCCTTTTTCTAACCTCTCCACAATTCTAACACGAGATCTAACTTATGGCAATATGTTATGTAGAGCAAATAATATGTTTTTTAACAGTATTTCTTCTAATGTGTTTTGAATGAAGTAATGACGAAATAACCCTTGTAAGTCCCGGAATGTGTCAGTTGTCCATTTGTCCTGAAAGTACAATAAAAAGGGGGTAGGAGGACCACACAACAGGGCCGCTTTTTGCAAACCACACTGGTGAGAGACAGTGGCAGTCGCTTAGAAATACCCATGCTAATCATTAGCATAAAGCACCTAATGCTCACGGAGGACCAAGGTTTTCCTGGCTCTAAAGGTGGCATGGGTAAGACTCAGAGCAGCCTTTCATCTGTTCATCTCAGCCTAAGGCTGAATTTCTCTCACCTCTGTTCCCAGATGAAAGCACCAAAAAAAAAAAAAAAAGATTTGTTTTACTGTGAAAATAAATCAGAGGAGGAGACAAATAAATAGGAGGAATCATGTTTGTACATTGATGCCAAAGGTCAGGGATACAGAGCTGTGCCTGAATTAATGCCACTTGTTTTTTCATTCCATGATGCGCAGCCATCAGCTCTCCCAGCTTTCTCTGCAGTTCAGTATTGCTCCTTCACAAAGCACGTCGGGGCTTGAAAGAGATTTATTTTTAATCAGAGGTCAGCACTGGTTGCAGGGGTCTTTACTTTGTGACCTTCAATTCTGTTTCTAGGAGGAGACAGTGGGTTTCAGTACCTTTTTGCTGTGGCCGTCTCTGGGTTAGCCCTTCCCAGAACAAATGCCACTGATTCAGGAGGGCTTTCTGCCTCCCCTTTATTTAAGTGCTGGTTACATTGCTCCGCCAGGACCCATTGCAGTCGTAAACCACGCTCAAGGGATGAGCAATTTAGGTTTGGAGTCATTGTGGACCAACCCCAGAGACCTCATGGAATTGTTTTTCATCTTTCGTACACCCACAGTTTTACTAGATCAGAGTTACTGCAAAACCCAGGGAGTTTCTGGCTTGAATTTGAGTTGGGAAAGACACACAAAAGAAAAGAATTTGTGTTGTAAATTAGATTTCTCAGATTTCAGTGATTTGTCATGGAAATGTGGCTCAATCTATGCAGTCATTAAAACGTTTTGCATGTTCAAGTGCTTCTCATGATCCTAAATTCCCTGATGTGACATGGAACAGCGGCTGTGGGAGGTAAGGTTAATTTTAAAACTGTGGTGGTAGCAAAAAGACTCAGCACCCCAAGTGGGAAAGCATTAAACCTACAAAATGAGGATCAGCCGAGAAAACGTGCCCTAGTTCTAATGATTTATATTATAAATGTACTTTGCTCAAGGTATTTTCTGCCTTTTCCGAAGTCTCCAATAGGGTATATGCCTCTGTTTTTCAGCTTGTTTCCATTTACTCTCCCTTTGCTTGCTGCTGCTTCAGAGCCAAAATATCTCCACTGGATAAAAGCTGAATGCTGCCTCCTCAGCCGGCCATGGCCCCTCTACAAGGATGAGTTGAGCTGCTTCCATGGTGGGAGGCTGCTCCCATCCCTGTCCTCGCTTTTGGAGAGGTTGTTCTAGTCTCAGCAGGGTCCAGCCCCAGGAAATTAATGTCCTCCAGCGTCCTCCTCCATCCTGAGCACAGCAGGGTCAAGAGCTGCCTCCCTCTTCCCTTGGGAATGAGGCACATGGAGTTTGGCAAGGCCGTTCCCTCAAAGACCAGGCTCTGTCGGGGTGCTGTTCACGCTCCCACCTGGCTCTCTCCTGCACCATGAGGATCAGCACTGGGATCCTGCCGGTGCCTGGGCAGAGCAGCCTTTCACTCAATGCCCCTGCATGTACTGCCTTCTCCCATGTTCCTGATGAAAACTGTCATGCAGGATTCAGTCAGTGGGGTTGTCTAAAACGGGATTAAAAAGCACAAAGTGGTGGCTTCCTATATTTGCCTGCCTGCATCACAACTGGCTTGTCTGCATTTTCGGTTGCTCCCTGCAATCATCAGGGAAGTTTTTAGGAAGTTCCCTTCCTAAAAAAAAAAATAGAGCAAGAAGGTTGTGAAGCTTCCCTGTTCCCAGGACTTCAGGATCTGGGGCTTTAAGAAATACATTCAATGTCATGAAATGCCTGATGAGCACATGCTGAAGGAGATGTGCTCAGCAAGCTGAGGGCATGGGCACATGCAGGACAGAGGAGCTGCTCTTCCTTGCCTTGCTTCGCCTGCACTCTCAGTGAGCCTGAGAAACCACATCTCACGTATCTGCTTCCTTGATGGGCATCTATCTCGCAGGGGTGAAGGCCTTCCTGAGTGGAGCTCTGCAAGGCAGCTGATAATTTTTATCTCTTTATTTTGCGACTTGATCAGTGTATAGCCTGTGGTTGGTACTTGTCTGCTTTTGTTAGAGACTCACTGGCCCAGGAAGTCCCTCCCAACCCTGTTCTTTCGTGCAGGCTGAAAAAGCCACACTATGGCTTTCTACCTGGAAACGCTGACGGGCTCTGCGAGCCCTGCTTACCAGCACCTCACCCGAAAGAGGCTCTTGCTAAGCCCGAGCGTGGCTGCCGCCGTGCAGCGCGCGGCAGGGCCGGGCCGCCGGGCACTTTGTTGCTCCGAGTGACAGTTTTGCATGTGCCTGACAGCATCTGTTGCCATGGCGATGCCTATTGGAGCCTGAGCGGAACTGCATCTTCCGCGAAGTTGTGAATTGAGCCGAGCTTTATTTATTTAAAAACAACCATAACGAGTGATAGAAAGAGGAGAGACACGTTACAAATCCCCTCGCGCAGGCTGTAGCCAAATGAGTCAGAAGCACTGCAGGCTTTAATCAGCGCACCTGACGTCAAACCTCTCCATCAGAGGAAAGTGCCGCCTGGAAATGTCAACATGCCCAAATGGAAAGGCCAGAAGGTAAATCTTTTCCTGTGCTCACTCACTAAGTAGGAAAGAACAATTAAAATTCAGCCAGTACCCCAGACACATCTTAATAGCAATCTGATTGAATGCTTTTCCTCTCCTCTTCCTCCCTCATGCCTGCCTCTAGCTCTGTGGTGATGAGGCCTCTCAGTTTAAAGTATCTTTCTAATACAGCATCAAACACCAGGTCCTGCAAGAATATGGTGTTATCACCAGCAACAGAAAATGGGCTCTGCAGATAAACTATTCCTGAAATGAGCTCTCCCATAAACACTAATGTAACTGTGCCATAAGAAGCACTTGCAAGTCTCACGTGTGTGAATGCCCAGAGGTAAGAATAGTAACTAATGCTTGGATCTGTGTCATTTGCTGATATAAACTACAAGTCCTGGGATGAGGAAGAAAGCAATGGGAATGAGACCGTATTTGCTACAGAAGGTGCCAGCCACCTGCCAGCAGATAAACATCAACGCTACCTTGGAGAGTTACACCAGGGCAATGGGGAAGCGGTCTTGTCTGCAACAGAGGGGTGACCTGCTCAGAAGAAAAAAATCTCCTTTGTCCTCTTTGCATGTAACAGCTGAAACTTTGGGCCCTGGTGAAAGAGGAAAGACAAACGGTATTGTGAAAAGGAGCCCCTTGCTTTGGATACAAGAAGCCCATGCTTTAGTGCATGTGTTAATTGCAGGATAGATGTGCAAAAGGGAAGGGGTTCAGCCAAGGACACCCCCATCTGCAGATTTCTGAAAGGAAAGGAGGCTAGTCCTCCTGTGAGGAAAGTCGGGCTGGGTGCCTCGGGAAACTTTCCCTGCCTGCCTTCTGGCATTTGCCAGGGTGACAAAGGGACACACACAGACACAGGGGATATGAGCACGTGGCGAAGGAGGAAGGAAGGAAGGAAGAATACAAGATGCAAACCACACTGCTTGAAAATAGGGCGTTTTGCCAGTTCCTCCGAAAAGCTCCCCACATCCACTGCTGTGCAGCAGCCAACGTGGTGGGCCTCTGATCTTCTCAAACCCCTTAACACTTCTCCCCCTTTTATTTTTGTGCTAAATGTAGGCTTTTTGCCGTGGTGGATGATCCTGGCAAAGTGCCCCAGACATTACACTGGGGTTTCTTTTGCTCTGGGAGATGTCTCTAATGAAGGTTTCCTCCGCCGTGTCTCTCCCCCGTAGTGAAGGTCTGTAATTACCCACGGAGGGGCGAGGCAGCCAGAGCTCAAACAATGTCATTTGAACTAGGGTGAGACAGGCCTGAATTGCTGGGTTGTACTTTTCTCCTCTGCAGTACTGCTTGTGGAGCAAGCTTGTGGAGCTTCATTTTAACCCTTTGCAGGGTTTTCGTTTCCCTCCTTAAGCCCCCCAAAACCTGCATGTGCCAGATCTGCCTGGCTTTGACGAGGGAAATCCTGCATCGTGTGGTCAAGAGGTAAGTGTCCAGCCTCTCTGCTTGGGGCACTGAATGGCTCGAACCAGCAAGGGTCTCCCCTTGGTGGCCGTGGGGTAACTCAGGTTTCAGTGCTGACTCTGTATGGCACAGCCTCCTCATCTGCACTCTGCTAGTTCTGTTTGAGCGGGTTGTTCAACTCTCTCCTGCACCAAAACCGTCTGCTTCCAGCTTCTTGACACAGGATATCTTCTTGGGGTAAAATTCAGTCAAACAGGGTGTGTAGCTGTACTACATCTGTATCTATCCTCACCCTTTCTGGAAAAAAAAGGGGTTTTAGATGTGGGAAGCTGTTAAGCAGCCCCCTCAGAAGGAATGTTCCACATTGCCACAGGGCAGCAAGAGCCTCTGCCTGGGGAGCTCTGCCCAGACGCTCTCTTTGCCTGTCCTGCGGCTTCTTGCTGACCTGAGTGTCCTGAAGGCAGGTGATTTAGACTGCTTTGAGCTCTGTTTCTTTAATTAATAAGCAGTAATTTCAAATGCTAACAAATGCTGGAAAGAGCTGCCCTCATATGACAGTTTCTCTGCATTCAGTTAGCCACCTGATTCAGTTGCCTCCTTCTCCAGGGAGGCTGCCATCAACGAAAGGAGGAATCTCTCTGCTTTTTGTCAGGTAAAGACTAGACAAGGCAGATTATGTATAAGGCAAAGAAGTTTTCTTAGTCCACCATGGAGTGAAAGATACAGTATGATTTTTCCTCTTTATCAATTACCCTCAAGGTCGTCAGTTTGCATTTCTCATCTTTTGGTCCTCACCTATTAACTATTTGGGGACATCCATCCCCAGCTTGCCTCATCCTGCCACAGGTAGCTCAGTAGCATTCTCAGCGGGTTGCAGGGTTGCAATATAAGAACACCGCTGGGATGTGATGTCTTGTATTAATGGGTTTTCTTTCCCTAAGTCTTTAATTCCCCATTTCCCTGCCTGTCACTCACTGCATGCTTGGAAAGCTCATTTAGATCTATCCAAGGGCCCTAAATTCACCCCAGAAAGAATAATAATTGCAGCACTGAGCTCTGTGACTTCCCTTTCATTCCCCACATAGCATTAGGGTGCTCACTGAAACCACAGCATTCATGGAGCCCTGCCATATGCAAGCATGCAATTAATACTCTCCTCACTTTCCCCTGCACTTCCCAGGCAAGAGGGGAAAAGAAGCACAAGCTGTAGTATACGTTTCCCTAGCAGGCACACATGTGAGTCTCTGACTCGCTTGAATAATCCAGCATGTCTTGCACCTATGTGGACTGAGTAGATCCTAACAAAACGTGTCTGCTCACAGGCAGAAAGTCAATTTGATGCAGCACCAGTTCTGTGTAGCTGCACGCAAAGCAGTATGCACGAAACAACTTGTTCCCTCTTTGAGCTGCTGCAGCAGATTCATGACCAATCTCATTTCACAGCTCTCTCTCTCTCTGGTTTTAGCAGAGAGCTCAGATATGTGTGATTTCCTTGCTGGCTCACCTCCTGTCTCTCTGATGCTCGTTGGTGGTGCTAGCAGGTGTGTTGGGTACCTGGCAGGGAGGCAGCACAGACGAGAAAGCAGGAAAGAGAAAGCAGCTGAATCTGGCTGGAGGGAAAAAATTATGTGTGTGAGAGAGTTTAAACCAGCCGCTGGAAGAAAATCAAAACTTAGGCAATTTCCAGGATTAGGCGGAGCTGCAGGATACAGGGCAGAAAAAGACTCTGGCATCGGCAAAATCCCTCCTCGAAAGTGACCTTCTGCTAGAAGAGGTTTCAGTAGATTCCTTGTCTCCTGTCTTGACTTTTTTTTTCCCCCACAGCTTTTAAATCATTCCCACAAAAAAACAAATGTAGAGATTGCAGCCTGAATGTTGGATCTGTAGCTACTTGTGTATTTGTGAGACTGCTCTCTTAAGAGACTGGCGACTATAGTAGCTCTTCTCTGAACTACATGGAAAGTCCTGTTTCTATCCTCACCTTGTTTCTGTGGGACTTGAGGAGCAGAAGGGGCCTAGAACACAGCAGCTGCTCCCTCAGTCTGTGGTGCACAGATCAGTGAGCCAACCTGCCACCAAGAAGTACGCTGAGGTGTCAAATCCAGAGAACTGGTGAAAAATAAAGTCAAGACAGACAGAAAGAGCAACTGATAGACCCAAATATGCAAGGTCTGGGCTCCAGAAAGCCTGACTGGCTAGGGAGATGGCTTGTGGTATGAGCCAGAAGTTCCATTTGTATGAACACCAAAGCTGGAAGAACAAACAAGCCAAATGGCATCCATAGCCATACTGCAAGTAAAACCTTTGTGCTGTGGTGGCAGTCCCTAAAAGCCAGTCTGAACATCCTGAATCTCCAAGCAAACAGTTCTCATAATGTGAATGCTGGCTTTCTAGCCTAAAAAAGAAGGCAAACATCATCCAGATCATCTCTCCTGTAACAAAGCAGTGTGTATGCAGCAAACCAAAAATCACCAATATGTGCAATTCGCCCACATTCCTCAAGAAACACTCATTCTCTGTGAGTTTTTCAAACCTCCTGGATTGGTCTGGAGGGAAACAAAAACTAGCTTTGCAGGCTGCAGAATGGGCCGGATTGCTGTGCACGTGTTCAAGTTAGGAGTCCGGTTCTCTCACCACAGCACAGAGTGAAGATGAAGTAAATGCAAAGTGATATAGCGAGGGGCTTGCATTTCTCTCTCTCCACAGGTATAAAGGAATGCAGTGGCAGCAAGACAAGCCAGAATAGAGCACAAACAAGTAGGATCCTTCTGTTAAGAAAATTCATAAGATCATTTTCTGCAATGATCTTGGTGATAGACGTGCATTTGCAGCATCAAATGTTGCAAAGCCAGGAGGGATTATCTGTGGTTGGTCTGGGGCTGGTTCAGTCTGAGCATGCTTGGCTGCTATTCCAGAATCTTTCTGTGATTAGATTGCAAATAAATATAAATATAAATATAAAATCAGAGAAAACAGGACTGAAAAGAAATTTGAGCTATCATGTGATTTAGCCCCGGTCCCAAGAGTAGATGCTGATCAGAAATATCTATGTCTCAAGGGATGTCTGCAGAAATTACTTTTAAAAAAGCTCCAGTGATAGAGATATTGCTACCTCCTAGACACCTAGTCACTATTTTTGCTATTAGGTTGTTTTTTTTCTTTTCTTTTCTTTTTTTTTAATTAAGGTGTGAGTCCGTACTGCTTGTTCCCTCCACTCTGGCCATGGAAATTATTGCCTTCCTCTTTCCCACAATTGTCTGAATGCTTAAAGACTGCTGGCATGAGAGTCTTTTCTTTAGACAAAAGAAGACCAATTCTCTCAGTCTTTTTCATGTCCCCTTTTACCAGATCTCCAGTTGTTCTCAGTGCCCTTTGCTGAACTCTGTTCAGTCAGTGCCACCTTCCTGGAGGTGTGGAAGCCCAGAGAGAGGGTGTTCTGGCTAACACTGTACTCTGCAACACTGCTGGGCAGGGCAGAAGGGGAACCTGTGCATGTCCTAAAGGTTTGTACGAGGGTCCTGCATAGTAGGAGCAGCTTTGCAGCTCAGATATTGAGAAGGAAGATTTGTTGCAACCTTTCCTTGCCTGCTGAGGTACAACAACAGCTTCAGTAAACAAGGGAGTTTGAGTCTAGGCATTTATGTCCAGTACTAAATGTATTAAATACAAACAGGGTCTCAGAACAGACATTTCCACATTTTTGAGGGCTTTGAATCTTTGAGCTGAGCTTCACAAAACTCCTGTTTGACTGTGCCAAAGTAATTTCCCTTTACACACAAGCAAGTCAGGTTTACTTTGCTTGACTTTTCCTGATGTCACTGCCCTCCATTCAGTGCCAACAGTTGCTGTAACTTTCACTGTCTCAGATTCCTCTGCCAGCACTGGGGATAAACACAGTGTGTGCCTTGACTTTTCTTGTTTCCTTGTGTTAACTTGGGTGAGGCCCTGAACCAGAAACGTGTAATTTCATTGGTAAATCCTAGCAGTTACGGAAGTGATATCCGTGTTTGGTTAGTGACAGGTGATGGAAGCTTCCCCTGCTGCTGCTCCACAAAAAGGTGTTGTAGCACTTTGACTGCCATTGGGAACACCATTACTTTCACAGGTCTTGATCCTTCTACTACACCAGAACTGAGAATTCCTCTAACTGCTCGGTTAAAGGAGATATGTTTGTCCCCTTGATTGGATCCACTCCTCTGAAGGCTCAGGATATATTTCTTCTCCCCATCTTCTGGTGGTAAAGGTTGCTTTGTTTCCAACTTAATATCCACTGGCTTCCTCATTGACAAAGTTATTTCTTTACCACTTCGGCAAGACAAACAGATCTGCTAAAACAGCATTATTTTCTCTGTTTAGTGGCAGAGATGAGACGGTTATTGCACTGCAACTGACCATGAGGGATCAGGATGCGATGGCTATCCCATTCCTGAAGTGGCAGCTGCTTATGATACTCCATGGAGGTGACGGGAGAGTGGGCTGAGGTGATCCTGTTCACAGAAAAGACACATTCTATTTAATTCCCAGCATTTTGATGCAGTTGGATCCTAGTGCTGCTTAATGGAAACTGCAAGTGTCTTTTCTTTTTAGAAGATGATTTCCAAATACCATTCCACCCTCATGTAAGTAAGAAATTAACTGATTTTGTGAAAACAGCAGCACGGTTCCTTCCTGGCTGAATTTATGTCTCTGACTGTTTTACCTGAAGGCTCTTTACACATGACAGAAGCATAAGGTAAAAGCAAACGCAACTGAAAGAGCCCTTTGTGAGCAGCAGCAGAAAGGCTTTTGTGCGGGGAAGGCAGCGTGTGGACACTGGTGTGATGAGCAGCCAAGGAGAGCCTAGGGTAGTGCTGTTAATCCTACCATTCGCGTGGAATATGGAAAGAACGTGTGATGATGGCCATACCATGGAAACCCAGTGACTGCTGCAGACACAGGCCCCAGCCAGCCTCAAAACTGCATTTCCCCACGGTGACCCTCACAAATGACAACTTCCAGCTATGGCTCTCCCAGGAGAAATGCACTGTTGCCCTTTTCTTTCTTTTCTTTATTTAATCCATATGCTTGTGATCAGGAAAGACACTGATGGGAGCTGGAACTCTTGTCCATTCACCGTGGAGCCATGAAGATTAATAAAACATCAGAGTTCCTGCAATGGGATTATTGTAAGTGGTTTTCTTGAGTGTTGGTTAGAATAAGGATCAGGGAGGACAAGGATCCATAATCCTATTTATCTGAAGCCATATAATCTTCCTGACGCTCTTTAATTACAGCGCAGTCGGATAGGCCGCAGCAGCCAGGCCCACCTGCAAACCCGTTATTGAGAGCCATGGGCACGGAGACCTCCCTGCAGCCTTGTGGCTCTCTGAAGACCCTTTTTTTCTGGCTCTGCTCCCTGGGGGAAAAGCAAAGAGACACCACAGACTGCCACTGCCTCTCTGCTTGCAGTGTTATCTCTGGATCTGCTAAAGGAAGGGTTTGCTCAGTTCATCAAACTGACTGCTTTGCCCTCAGGCACCCTCCTCCCCGCAGCCTGGGGAGCAGCCAGGCAGCCCCAGGCAGCCTCGGGGCAGCAGCAGGAGCCCCGGGCAGCAGCAGGAGCCCTTCTCGCCGCGATCCTGGGGGCCTCCTGGGCACGACAGCGGCTCACCCAGGCCCTGGTGTCCCGGGGCAGTTGGGGGAGCCTCGGGAGGAGGCCCGGAGGACCCTGCGGGAGGGACGCGGCGCCCTGGCCGCGGGTGTCCCGGAGGGGGCC